AATGAGTAAAATCTATACCTTAATTAATTTATTCTAACCATTTCTACCTTTTAAATGTGTATTGAAGTTCTTCGTTAATTATCAACCCATTGACATTTTGACACTGACTAATTATTGTTAACAAACATATCGCCACTTGATTGGTAAACTGTTGTGTATTGTAATAAAAATGCTATACGTGTATATTAGAGTAGGGCCAGAGATGGGGATCTAATTGAAAAGTAAATATTTCTTCGCTCAATCTTTCTGTTTTCTAAATGTCTAAATGGGGATTTTTTCTATATCAAAAACAATTATCCCCATTTACTTGAGGAGCTGCAACTTCTCTTTCAGTATGAAATAAACATTGGACAACTTATGGTAAATCTCTAAATAACCCACTCACCCCCCATATTTCAGAATATATAAAGCCAAATACTGTGAATGGACATGAAAGTCAGCAACACTTGCTGTTCTCTCATCGAAAAAAACATTTCCCAAACTATTCTAATATAAAATTGTTTTCACAGTGTGCAGTAAGAATAGATTCACACACACACACACACACACTAGAAAAATAGAAACCTACCACCAAAATTATCCTCATCACATGATTCAACTCCTGCTGTGATATGTTACCCCAATCACGCATAACCTCAAGACAGTTAGTTGCTAGAATGACGGGGCAACATCACTGGGCTACATTTCTTGAATGACATAAATGTTCTTCGAACAGCAATGCAGACGCGACACATCAAGATGAACATCGGATATGCATAACTAGTTGCAAACCAATACTTATAAGTCCATTAACCCAAAATTTCCACATAACATTTATTGTAACAACAAAAATTCAAATTAATAGCCCTCTCTACCTATAATGAAACTAAAAGTCTGGGTACGTTACGTTGATGATACATTTGAAATAATTAAGAGAAATGATTTAGAATATACCCATAAATTAATAAACAACATATTTTGAAGACATCAAATTCACCCCGAGAGAAGAAGAATTAGATAACAAAATCTCAATTTTAGATGTCTTAATCAGGAGAACCAACACAGGAAATTTAGAAACACAAATATATAGAAAATCAAAGCACACAGATCAAATACTCAACTATACTAGCAATAACCCAATTACCTACAAAAGAAACTGTGTGCAGATATTGTTTAAAAGAATTCAAACACACTGTAGCACTCCAGTGTTGAAAAGAATAGAAGAAAAATACCTACTAACCGTCCCTTCAAAAAGAATGGTTATCCGTACAATTTCATCAAAAAGTGTTTAAAATCGAATCACAACACCAACAAGAAACCATCATCAAAGACTACAAGAAAATTCATCCTAACATATATAAAAATCATCTCTAAAATAACAGCTAGAATATTGAAACTCTTTGAAATAGATACAGCACACAAACCAGCCAGCCCAGTCAGAACAATCACTTCATTCAATAATATGCAAACCGAAAGATAAAATTAATATCATTTACAAAATAAATTGTATGAACTGTAACAGACATAACATCGGCCAAAGTGGGCATCCCCTTCGAATCAGAATCCAAGAACACACATTATCTGTGAAAAGACATGATATATATTCCTTCACATCAATGCATATAGATAATTATGGACATCAGTTTGATTGCGATAATGTTGAAATTTTAAACAGAGGAAACACCAAAATTGCCAGGGAATTCCTAGAAGCCTGGTACTCACACAAATATGCGAGTAACAAACAGGTTAATATCAACCGAATATACCAACTCAGAAGTAAATCATGTGACGACAAAGCTTAAAATCCAAGTCAATAAAAATGATCAATTCAGATGTCAAGACGGTGACCGGGAGACGCAATTCTACCACTGATAAAAAAATTTAAGTCAGTTCACCTTATGATAGAGGACGTTGTCCAGAACGCCGACGACAGCTCTACAAATGAACCAACAACCTCAGAGAACATTATTATTTGCAAATAAATTCCATATTCACGCTAATACCATAAATGCCAAACTATCACTATGTGATCCACGTACGCACAAAATACCAGTATACACAGTAAAAATTTCACCAAATAATAAAAGCGAACACTAAACTCCATCATTTTGTCATGACTCCTGGCAAACTCCTCATGTTCGCCTGCTATTCTATACGTGGCTGCTATATCCTCCCGAAGTTTCTGTAGGTATTCAGTGTAGTCCAAAGTCCCACAGAGGAGAGGTGGAGTCTGAATATCACACAGCAAGCGTAACTAACTCATCACTAAAAAGAAGATCGGCCGGAGAAAAGTCAGCTGATGAAGGCGTAGGTGTCCAAAAGCCGAATGGGCTTCGCGATAAAGCTTAGTCCCAGCAATCGGATGATGGGCGACTAACGTCCTCCTTGTATGCTTTACCAAGCCGACTCGCCTGTCGATGATAAGAGGTGGTGTGTACTTTTAAAATTGCGAACATTTAACAAACCTGGGCTACCGATGGACTTCTAAAATCCGCTGTCTGATCAGAGTGTAAGACCACTGCAGCTTCATACAGTGTTACCCGTGTGTTGGAGAATGCTTTCGTTACAACAATCGCGTGTGGCTTCAGGATTGGTACTACCTCACATCACTCGGTGAAATAGTCGACCACGACGAGAATATATCAATTACCATTTTTTGTTGCTGGTAACGGTCCCATAACGTGAATTCCGACACAGTCATTAACATCGACATCACCAGTGTGCATGGCGTATGCAGTGGAGATTTGATGCGTGCACAGATCTCTTCGACATCCCGATGTAACGAAGGCCACCAACAATGTTGACAAAGCTCAGCTTCTGTCTTACTTGGTCCGACATGTTCAAGCTCTTGATGCATTTGTTATCACTATATATTGCACTTTTGATCGCGGTACTATGAGACGAGGTGTTTCGGCTGGTTCTGCTAAATAAATGATATTATTAATTAACTAGGTATAAATGTCCCCATATGACAAGAATATAAAGTGACATATTCTTCATTTCCCGACTCGAAGGTTGGTCATTCTCACATAACATAATTGGTGTTCATCAATATTCTATTAGTCAGGATCGGCTTCTTGAAGGGAAGCCAAGTCAACTTCGTCGGTGGCATTAGTCAGTACGCTCAGTGTCCCGGTAGTCTCTGGAATAAGCGTTAAGGCCTTTTTGGTATTCGCAAGTGAAGTCGAACCTCTGTAAGCGTTCTTGCCGACGAGCAAGTTGGTCCTCTGCATCATGCAAATTCTGTAACGACTGTAACATTCTGTCGTTCGTCCCAACCTGAAATTCGCAGCCCAATAGATAGTATCGAGAATAATCCAACCACATAATAGGCAAAACAAACGCCTCGTCACACTCAATAGTCCAAACAAGTTTCCGTCCCTTCTCCGTTAAACAATGAAGGAGAGTGGTTAGATTGCCAAATTTGGACTAAGCAGAGGAAGGAAGGAAACAGTCCCATAGAGCTACGAACCACTCCTGTCGATTCCGAAGGAGGCCAGCACACGATAGCATAGACAGACTTTACTTCTTTAAGCGAAATATTCCCATATTGAGTCATAAGGAAAAGACGTAAACAGCGAAGAAAATTTTCCTTTCGACGACTCATTTTCATAAGTTGTACAATCGTAATTCTATTTAACAGAGAAATCATAAGACCAATCAGATACTGGTAGAATTTGTCCTCGAAAAACGTATTACGACCAAGTTAGACTTTGAGCACCACTAACTGCCAATGGAGTGTGACCGCACCATTGACCTTGAGTGGTCCAATGAGTTTGATCCACGTGAGTTGACGGGTCTATTCCGCTTGATTCGAGTCAAATACCTGCTATAACGTAGTTGCGCTTGCAATTTGGTGAAGATAAGGTTTTCCAGTATTGCTTGGATATGGGACTGATTGGAAAGGAAAGAATCTGTCCCTGTGGAGGTGTAATGAGTATAAAAAGCTTCAGCAGGTCGCTTGATGGATATGTCCATTGTTGTGCAGTTTGTTTGAGACGAGTTAGTGTCAGGGAAGGTAAGCTGATGATTCTAATATTTCGTAGGAACATTTTTGTCAGGTCCCGCTTGTTCTTAACCCTGATTTTGTATATTTGTAATTACTGGGTTTTAAAACAGCCTGTGAAAGGTGTAGCTGCTGAAACTGAAAATAATTTCGTATCAACAGTTCAGTGGTACCAGCACTGCAGAGAGATATCGCGTCATGGGAAGTGGAGAGACTTACTTTCTTATTGGGAGGAGATGTCATCGTGTATGTGGATGAAACTGTCTTAGTAGAGGAGAAATACAACCGTGGTCGTGAACGAGCAACTAATGTTTGGGTGGTTGGCTTATATGACACCTCTCTACAGAGAGTATTCGCCACGAGGATAGCAGACAGAAAGTCAACTACCTTAATACCTATTATCACTCGACTTCTGAAACAAGGATCCACAATACACACTAATGAGTGGAAAGGTTATAACTCCCTGTCATCCCTTGGATATATTCACCACAGAGTCAACCATTCTAATGATTTTGTGGATCCCATTACAGAGACACACCAATTCTACAGAAGGCTTTTGAGGAAGGTTAAAAAACAGGATTAGAGACATTTATGGATCTCAAAAGGATGTCATTTATAGTCATTTAGATGAATATATGTGTAGGATGTGGTGTAACTTTACAAGTGACACTCCTATGCTAAATTGGGAGATGTTTTTATCACATGTGAGAGGAAGGTATCTAATGTAACAGTTTTATGCAGTTTTTTCACAAGTATATGTGTGGGGAGAGATGGCTGCTAGCCAAATTGGTAGACAGTAATTGACGTCAATGTTTATGTCTCAAATATTAGTCATGTGAAAACAAGGTCAAAGATGGACAGCAGACTTTGCGTAGGCGGATACAGTTAGCATATAGATGATCTGACACAGCCACGAAGAGATGCAAGGTTAACTTTCGGTGAGAAACAACCAATCAAAAGACTGTATTTTCTACTAACAATAATCTACAATAATGTACATTAAAATCTATAAATATGTGTTGATTTTCCTTAATAAACAATCTGTTGCCTGACTCTTGCCTTCTGTTGTTACAATTGGTGTCGCTGCCTCCGAACAATGAAGATCCCATGGCCAACTGCGTTTGAAGAAGGAGACATACGGAGCTTCTTACGTGATTTCGAGGCCGTTGCTGAGTTGGTGGGTGTCAAAGAGCAAGCGGCGAAGGCGGTTGTGCTGGGGACGCTGTTGAGAGGCCGAGCGAAGGCGGCATATGACAGCGTAGAGAGGTCAGATGGCACAGCGTCTTGGGAGACATTGGTTGAACGATTGGTGTCGGAGTTCGACAGTCCAACAGACAGACAGCTGACAATGCAGCAGTTCCGTTCACCGAAGCTCGGACCTGATGGAAATCCGTTAGTGTTGGCGGTGAAATTGACGAATCTACTTCGACGTGCGCTTCCCACTTTGGATGAAAAACCAGAGGCGCAGTTGCTGAGTTCCCAGTTCATCGAGAGTGTCCCAGACCACATTTCTCAGCAATTACAACTGGTTAACGCTACGCAGCTGATGGATATTTATGAGCTGGCGAAGGTGACCAGACAGCTGCTAAGCACAACAGTCGTGCTTAAGGAAAATCAACACATATTTATAGATTTTATTGTACATTATTGTAGATTATTGTTAGTAGAAAATACAGTCTTTTGATTGGTTGTTTCTCACCGAAAGTTAACCTTGCATCTCTTCGTGGCTGTGTCAGATCATCTATATGCTAACTGTATCCGCCTACGCGAAAGGATACCTATTCAAACTACCAAAGAAAGGAGACTTGAGTCAATGCAAGAACTGGCGCGGAATTATGCTCCTGTCCATCCGAAGCAAAATACTAAGCCGCATCATCTTGGAAAGGATCAAACAAGTCCTGGATGAAAAACTTCGACCAGAACAAGCTGGATTCAGGAGAAACAAGTCATGTATTGATCAAATCGCCACACTACGGATCATCATTGAACAAAGTTTGGAATGGCAGTCACCTCTCTATCTCAACTTCATCGACTTTGAAAGGGCCTTCAACAGCGTGCATCGAGAGGTGATTTGGCAACTACTTCGCTACTACGGGGTGCCACCGACAATTATACATCTCATCCAACAGTTGTATGACAACGCTGCATGCCAAGTAATCCACAACGGGAAGCTCACGGAATCCTTCGAAGTGAAGACAGGAGTAAGACAGGGTTGCCTACTATCGCAAGTGATTTTCCTGATTGCAGTAGACTGAATAATGCGACAAACAGCGGGCAACGAGGAAACAGGCATAAAATGGACCAACACAAAGAACTTGGAGGATCTGGACTTCGCCGATGATATATGTCTGATTTCCCACAAACTGGAAGATATGCAAGTGAAAAGTAACAAGCTGGCAGAAGAAGCATCAAAGATAGGACTCCAGGTGAACATAGAGAAAACGGAGGTGATGAAGATCCCTGGCCAACAGCAACAACAACAGACAGCAGTCAGCATAAATGGAAGGAACCTGAAAGAAACTACCTCCTTTACCTACTTGGGAAGCATTGTTTCAACTACAGGCGGAACTGACGAGGATATCAAAGCAAGGATCGGGAAGGCAAGGCAAGCTTTCATTACTCTCAAGTCTGTGTGGAGGTCAACATCATTCAGCGTCAAAAATAAGATCCGTATTTTCAACTCCAATGTGAAGTCAGTACTACTATACGGATCAGAGACTTGGCGTGTCACAAAAAGCACCTCAAACAAGCTACAGACCTTCATTAAGAGATGTCTTCGCTCAATACTCAAGATCAGATGGCCGGAAAGGATCAGCAACAAAGATCTCTGGGAGCGAACCAACCAGAAACCGATTGTGAAACAAATAGGCAGGAAGAAATGGAGATAGATTGGCCACACTCTGAGGAAACCAGCAAGTGACATCACTAGACAAGCCCTCGAGTGGAACCCGAAAGGGAAGCGACGAGTTGGTCGTCCAAGGGTGACCTGGAGGAGATCATGTGAAGAGGAGATGAAAGCATGTGGGCAGACCTGGAGTCAGGTGAAGACTCTAGCAGGAAACCGAACGCAATGGAGACGCATGGCTGAAGCCCTATGTTCCTCTAGGAACTAAAGGAAATAATAATAATAATAAATCCGCCCACGCAAAGTCTGCTGTCCATCTTTGACCTTGTTTTCACATGACTAATATTTGAGACATAAACATTGACGTCAATTACTGTCTACCAATTTGGCTAGCAGCCATCTCTCCCCACACATATACTTGTGAAAAAACTGCATAAAACTGTTACATTAGATACCTTCCTCTCACATGTGATAAAAACATCTCCCAATTTAGCATAGGAGTGTCACTTGTAAAGTTACACCACATCCTACACATATATTCATCTAAATGACTATAAATGACATCCTTTTGAGATCCATAAATGTCTCTAATCCTGTTTTTTAACCTTCCTCAAAAGCCTTCTGTAGAATTGGTGTGTCTCTGTAATGGGATCCACAAAATCATTAGAATGGTTGACTCTGTGGTGAATATATCCAAGGGATGACAGGGAGTTATAACCTTTCCACTCATTAGTGTGTATTGTGGATCCTTGTTTCAGAAGTCGAGTGATAATAGGTATTAAGGTAGTTGACTTTCTGTCTGCTATCCTCGTGGCGAATACTCTCTGTAGAGAGGTGTCATATAAGCCAACCACCCAAACATTAGTTGCTCGTTCACGACCACGGTTGTATTTCTCCTCTACTAAGACAGTTTCATCCACATACACGATGACATCTCCTCCCAATAAGAAAGTAAGTCTCTCCACTTCCCATGACGCGATATCTCTCTGCAGTGCTGGTACCACTGAACTGTTGATACGAAATTATTTTCAGTTTCAGCAGCTACACCTTTCACAGGCTGTTTTAAAACCCAGTAATTACAAATATACAAAATCAGGGTTAAGAACAAGCGGGACCTGACAAAAATGTTCCTACGAAATATTAGAATCATCAGCTTACCTTCCCTGACACTAACTCGTCTCAAACAAACTGCACAACAATGGACATATCCATCAAGCGACCTGCTGAAGCTTTTTATACTCATTACACCTCCACAGGGACAGATTCTTTCCTTTCCAATCAGTCCCATATCCAAGCAATACTGGAAAACCTTATCTTCACCAAATTGCAAGCGCAACTACGTTATAGCAGGTATTTGACTCGAATCAAGCGGAATAGACCCGTCAACTCACGTGGATCAAACTCATTGGACCACTCAAGGTCAATGGTGCGGTCACACTCCATTGGCAGTTAGTGGTGCTCAAAGTCTAACTTGGTCGTAATACGTTTTTCGAGGACAAATTCTACCAGTATCTGATTGGTCTTATGATTTCTCTGTTAAATAGAATTACGATTGTACAACTTATGAAAATGAGTCGTCGAAAGGAAAATTTTCTTCGCTGTTTACGTCTTTTCCTTATGACTCAATATGGGAATATTTCGCTTAAAGAAGTAAAGTCTGTCTATGTCATCGTGTGCTGAATACTTACGGAAACTTCAGGAGGATGTAGCAGCCACGTATAGAATAGCAGGTGAACACGAGGAGTCCGCAAACCATCATCAGAAATGGAAGCATGACCTGGTCTACGGAGGTTCATATATACCAGTGAATTGTATTTAGTTACACCAACAATACGCTATGCAAGAAAAGTCCAGTAGTTTTGCTTTCGATGATAGGAACCCAGTGGGATCGTTTACAAACGTCCTTCTCTCAGCTGAACTCTAACGTATCTGCCGCCGCCAGAAGAAGAACTGATTGTGCACTATAAGTATTTGAAGCCAGCGCATCATCCAACTCTGTCAACCTCTAAGAACCCACCGTCTGCTGCTGGATATGAAGTTTCAGCAGGCAGAGGACTGGCTTATCCGATTCCGTGTACAGGCATTGGGACAGTGTCTTTCCGTTCGAGGATGGATAGTTGTAACACTTGCGGAACTAATACGTAAACCTCGTAATGGTGATATGACAGTATTTTCAGGTATTGGTTTTTTGTAGGGATTGTGTTTGATTGGTTGGAGGGTTTCAAAATAAGCTGACACTAGTGACTGGCCCTATATAGGCAGTTAACCTGGGGTTCTAGTGGGAAGCCGTCTCCAGTAGGGTACAGCAGGTTGAAGTGGTCACGCCACCTCATAAATTGACTCAAGTTAAAATCCATGGACTGGCCAGTGGATCGAGTCCCGGTGGGTTCATGGTGCACGAGCTCGCCTTGTAACTAGAAGGTCCGGAGTTCGCACCATGGCGGTTGGCGCGTACTGGTGAAGAGTCCCAAACTAGGATGAAGCAGCTGTCTAGTACTCCTAGGTTATCTAACTGATGTCAGCTCATGATGAAACCCCCCTTCCAATAACAGTATTTCTCTTACATTGTAGATACAGGTCACGTGAATGCAGTGGACCAATTATCGAATGATGTAGATTGGCTGAACACAAATGATTAGAGGCTGAACTTGTACTTTGAATCTTCACGCCTATATTTGTCTTTCGTGTTCTTTCCTATGTGCATCAGTGTGTGCTCTTTCCTGTTTTACAGATGAAGCTTCTCCCAGTGCTGGATTCCTGTTTACACACAATAAGGAGTGTAACTTCAATCCTCCTATATTTTAGTGCTAGTCGACAACATTCTAAATGTCCGCGTGAGGGCAGATGATGATTATTTTGAATATTAAAAAAAAAAGCTGATCGAAATGGTGACTCTTTCTTTGAAGTGAATTTATCACTGAGGCATGTTGACCAGTAGTATTTAATTCGTAAGTAACTGACACGGTGATATGGTACACTCTAATATCTTTGAGAATTAGCTCATCACCTTCAACTTAGCCTGTTCTGCGGAAGGGCACATATAACCTAAACATAATTAGTTCTAAGACGCACATAAAATAATAAATTTTGAAGCTTTTGTTTCCACAAACGCTTTACTGAAAAATTTCAACTTTTGTGTTGCACTAAGTACACCCGAAGCGATAACAAGTGGTAAAAAATAATGTGATCATTGGTCAACTAAACCTGCTTCTAAATCATCCTAACAAAAGTGTTCACAGTCCACGGGAGTAGAACCTTTAACAAACGACTAATGCTGCGTTATATAACAATGAGAAGAACGATAAATGCATTGTGCCGTACAGAAAATATAATGAAATAGTTACTCACTTATTTATTAGAGGGAGAGAAAAAAAGGTTAAATTGAGCAAACAAACTCCCACCTTGGTAGAACCAGAAAGCTGTGATCCGATGATGTGTCAAGTAGCTGTGTACCGCTGTCAGGCTAATATTCGCTGGTAATGAAATCAAACTTGAAATTAATTCAGTAATCCCCTCACTCAGTAATACTCACAAGTACATATATACAATTTGTGGATGGTGACTAGCAGTGGAATGCAGGATGCGGATTTCGTCCTATTTGGGACTCGTCACTGGATGTACCTGCGTTTCCCAGTGAGTGGTGATGATGTTCCCACCGAGGCTCCAACCCAGTGCCCATAGTTTCAGATGCCCAAGTGG